CACTTAACACTGGCAAAACCTACTATATTATGTTTGGTAGCAGAGCAGGTGTTGCGCAACTTAACATTAAGACACAACACTCTAATTGCCAGACCTAATGAGGGCAAATTCCTTGGCCTATACCTCGACAACAACCTAAATTTCAGCACCCATATCCCACACATAACAAAAAAAGTATCCAAAACGGTGGGGATCCGGGGATCCTCTCCAAGATACGATACTACGTACCACAAACTGCCCTTCTCACACTATACCATTCACTTATATATCTATACCTCACCTATTCTATCTGTGCTTGGGGTTCAACTGCAGCAACACACCTAAAGCCAATAATAACCCAACAAAAAACCGCAGTAAGAATAATCACTAAATCCCATCCCTGGCAACACCCCCCCCCCACTCTTCATGGATGTATACTTACTCCGTGTTCAGAGCATCCACACCTACTACTGTGCAATCTATATCTACAGGACCTTAAATTCCAATATTAACCTTGACCTAAAACGCTTTCTTGATAGTTGTGACAGGATCCATAGGCATAACACCAGACACAAACACCTCTATGACATTCCCCGTGTTCGACTAAACCTTTACAAAAATTCAATGTATTTCAAAGGCCCTAAAATCTGGAACACCCTACCTGAAAACTCTAGAACTGCAGACACATTCATCACTTTCAAAACTACAGTTAGAAAACATCTTATCTCCCTGATCCACCCCGACAACTAACTACATAATAACCACCTGGTGGTTCACAATTACACTCACTCACCCACTGACTATAAACCCAAAAATACTAATCTTAATCTTAAAATAATAAATCCTAACTAGTCATAAGTTTGCCTATGATACTCCAATACTCCAATATAGACACCTTGTATTGTGCTAAAACAAAAGCATTCACATTGCTAAACTCACAAATTATGATGTAGTCACTTAGCCTTAATACCATAATCTGTAAGGATTTAATGTTAAGAATTAATCTAAGTCTGCCCGAAATGCCTAGCCATGCTAGGTATCCTAGTGGCCCTCACTGTAATTAGTATTTTATAACATGTAAACCACACAATACCCAAAACCTGTAAACCCCACATTGTAACCCTTATAGAGAATAAACTTGAATTGAATTGAATTTACAAAGTCACACTAACGAGAAGTAGAGCAGGAAGGGGTATATATAGGCAGGAAGAGGTAGTGGTTGTGGTGGTAGTAGTAGTAGAGGTAGTAGTAGTAGTAGTAGTAATAGTAGTAGTAGTGGTAGTAGTTGTAGTGGTAGTAGTAGTAGTGGTAGTAGTAGTAGTAGTAGTAGTAGTAGTAGCAGTGGTGGTAGTAGTAGTAGTAGTGGGGAATAAGGAGGACGAGCAAGTCAAATACAAAGAAAGGGGAGCACTGCACGGGAGCTAGGTGCCCACAGAGGGAGAGCAAGAACACAGAGGTGGGGAAGAAGGGGAAGTGATGAAATAAATAATGAAGGAACAGAAACACGAGACAGAAGAAAGACAACCCAGAGGAGACAAAAGGAAAGAGGAAAGGGGAAGAGGGAGAAGAAGAAAAAAGGAGGAATCAGGTTAAGTCACGGATGTTTTGAAGTTTGGAACATTTTACAATGTAGTGGGAGAGGAAGGCATCTACAGAGACGAAGCCAGGACTAAGATTCATACAAGGAAAGTTGTGTATTAGAGAGGATTCAACTAGACGGCGACTGTTATTTGTGTATCGTTCCAGTCACGGTATTGTGCCTTTTTTTTTTTTTTGTTATTTATGTCTAAGTCAATGACCTAAATCTCATCCCGGTATCCCATGTATAAGTAGATGTTTGAATATGCGTGAATGTAGTGCAATGATATGAAAGAGATGGCGGCCAGTGTTATGAATGCTGGATGCCCTTGATATAAACCAAAAAACAATTGAAGAGGGTAGGAGAATTTCAGTGGGGATAAATAAATGGGATTAAATCAGGTGTATCTGAGAGAGTTAGAGCTAAGGAAGGAGTAGCAAAAATGTTGAATAAGCTAGTGCAGTAAAAGACGGAATGTAAATATATAAATTCAAGGATTACTTATTGGTGGATTAAAGGTTGTTATGTAGAATCCCGGATGTGCATGTTTATAGATGTGGCAACAGATATATCACATCATTTGTTAGTTGTAGCTACAGTGAGAGTAAAAGGTAAATGGGGAGCAAGGAGAATGGCAAGAGCAAGTACGAGAGATGTGAAGGTTTATAAATTAAAGAAGGAGGAAGTTAGAGTAAGATATAAACAACTATTGGTGGAAAAATGGGCTAATGAGAGTAGGTAATGAGGAGTTTCCAGCGTGTGGGGAAAATTTCCGGATGCAGTATTTAAATTGTTAGGGAAAAGTTTGTGGATATAGTGAGGTGGGGTGCAGGAAGGAATAAGAACAATTACTGGAATGATGAAAAGAGTGGTAAGAGAAAAAAAGTTTGTGTATGAGAGGTTTTGCAAAAGCAGGAATGATATAAGAAAGGAAGAGTATATGGAGAGAAAAAGAGAGCATAAGAGTGTGGTAAGGGACTATAAAATGAGAGCAAATGAGAGAGTGGGTAAGTTGTTGTCAACAAATTTTGCCGAGAATTAGAAAAAATGTTGAAGTGAAATTAATAAGTTGAGAAAGCCAGGGGAACAATGGGTTTTACAGTTGAAAAAGAGAAGAGGAGAGTTATCATACAGGGAGTTAAAGGTATTGGGAAGTTAGAGGGAGTATTTTGAAAAGGCGTTAAATATTGATGAAGAGAGCGTAGCTGTGATTTCATGCATGGGCCGGGGAGGTAAAGCATCTTTTAGAAGTGAGGAAGAGCCAGATATGAATTTAGGGGAAGGAGGTGAAGTTGTGGGTAAAATGAAAGGGGATAAAACCCTGGGATTAATGATCAAAACAGAAATGTGGGGATAGAGTTTTGGAACAGGTGGTGCTTTTATTTAATAAATATATGAAAGGAAGGAACCAAGAGACTAGCAGAGAACATGTATAGTTCCTTTTTAAAGCCAAAAGGAACAAAAGAGATTGTAAGAATTATAGGGAAATAAGCCAAATGAGTATACCTGGTAAGGCGTAAGCTAGAGTAATTATTGAAAGAGTTAAGAGAAAGACGGAGAGCAAGACTGCAGATGAACTAGGCTTTAGGAAGTGTTGAAGACGTGTAAACCAAGTGTTTACATTGAAGCATATCAGAGAACAACATTTTGATAACGGTAGGGAAGTTTTCATTGCATTTATGGATTTAGAAAAGACATATGATAGGGTGGATAGGGGAGCAATGTGGCAGATATTTCAAGTGTATGGAATAGGTTAGGTTAGGTAAGGTTCGTCAGGAAACAGGACAAATGTTTCCTGACGCGGGTCTTAGTCAGATGATGACCCGCCTTTGGAGCTTTTGGTCATCTGACCGAGGCCTTCCGCTGGCTTACCGGTCCACCCCTTTAAAAATTATGGTCATTTATAACCATTAATATATATGGAATAGATAGTAAGTTACTAAATGCTGTAAAGAGTTTTTATGAGGATAGTGAGGCTCAGGTTAGGATGTGTAGGAGAGAGAGAGACTACTTTCCAGTAAAAATAGGCTCTAGACAGGGATGTGTAATGCCATCAAAGATGGGGTTGTAAAAGAAGTAAATGCTAGGATGTTTGGGAGACGGGTAGGATTATATTACAGGGAATCAAATACAAAATGGGAATTAACACAGTTAACTTTTGCTGATGTTAGTGGGCTTCTGGGAGATTCTAAAGAAAATTTGCCAAGGTTAGTGGATGAGTTTGGGAGTGTGTGCAAAGGAAGAAACTTTAAAGTGAACATAGATAAGAGTAAAGTGATGAGGGTATCAAATAATTTAGATAAAGAAAAATTGGACATCAAATTGGAGGGCGGGAGTATGGAAGAAGTGACTGCTTTCAGATACATGCGAGTTGACGTGTCAGCAGATGGGTTTATGAAGGACGAGGTTATTCATAGAACTGATGAAGGGAAATGTTAATGGTGCAATGAGGTATCTAAGGAGACAAAAATGTTGTCCATGGAGGCAAAGAATGGAAAGTACGAGAGTATTGTGGTATCAACACTCTTTTATGGGTGCGAAGCATGGGTTTTGAAAGCTGCAGCGAGGAGGCAGCTGGAGGCAGTGCAGATGTCGTGTCTAATGGCAATGTGTGGTGCAAATATTATGCCGAGATTTCGTAGTGTGTAAATTAGGAGGTGTGGAGTTACTGAAAGTATTAGTCAGACGGCTGAAGAGGGGTTGTTGATGTCGTTTGGTCATTTAGAAAGGATGAAGCAAAATAGGATGACTTGTAGGGTGTATAAATCTATAATGGAAGGGATGGAGAGGGAGGGGTAAAAGAGGTTTTATGTGCATGGGCCTTGGACACGAAGCAGGCATGTGTGAGCATGTTAGATATGAGTGAATGGAGACGAATGGTTTTTGGGACTGACGAGCTGTTGGAGTTTGAGCAAGGTAATATTTTGTGAAAAGATTCAGGTAAACCGGTTAGAAGGACTTAAGTCCTGGAAGTGGGAAGTACACTGCCTGCACTTTAAAGGACGGGTTTAGGATTTTGGCTGTTCGGAGTGACATCTAAACTCTCGTACCTGAGCGCCTCTGTAAAGTCAGTGATTATGTGTGAATGGTGGTGAAAGTGCTTCTTTCTTTTTTGGGTCACCCTGCCTAGGCAGGGAGAGAGAGAGAGAGAGAGAGAGAGAGAGAGAGAGAGAGAGGAGAGAGAGAGAGAGAGAGAGAGAGAGGAGAGAGAGAGAGAGAGAGAGAGAGAGAGAGAGAGAGAGAGAGGAGAGAGAGAGAGAGAGAGAGAGAGAGAGAGAGAGAGAGAGAGAGAGGAGAAGAGAGAGAGAGAGAGAGAGAGAGAGAGAGAGAGAGAGAGAGAGAGAGAGAGAGAGAGAGAGAGAGAGAGAAGGAGAGAGAGAGAGGAGAGAGAGAGAGAGAGAGAGAGAGAGAGAGAGAGAGAGAGAGAGAGATTCATATTTACCACGCTACTATTGCTTCATAAACTTCAAACTCATATTTGATGCATAACTCTTGCTGTAGCAGTTGTCTCAGTGAGTCTCGACTTAACTGGCAAAACTGTGGTGACGCCAACACAGCAGAAGAACACTGTCTCACAATCTGTAAGAAACAAATAATATTGATAATAAACACTGAATTAAACATCGGTTCTTTGGTTACAAAAATGTTTGTAAAACACTTGTTAAACAAACATAATTTGTCACATAATTTTATTATCTCTAACAAAACCAACAGAATAATATTTTGACCCAAGATGAGAGGAAGCTAAATGAATATTTTATTTATTCTAATTTTCACTCGTCGGAAACTTTCTCAAGTATCAGAAGTTCACGATGAGCGAAACGTAGCATTAAATGAAACTTTCAATCAGCGAAAACGTTTCCATTCATTTAAGTTTAATAAACAATATGTTTATGTCATTCGTGGGGTTCATGCTGTCAGTTACCAGACAGCCAGTGGACGAGGTTCATGCTGTCAGTTACCAGACAGCCAGTGGACGAGGTTCATGCTGTCAGTTACCAGACAGCCAGTGGACGAGGATCATGCTGTCAGTGAGAAGACAGCCAGTGGACGAGGCTCATGCTGTCAATTACTAGACAGCCAGAGGACGAGGCTCATGCTGTTAGTGACAAGACAGCCAGTGGACGAGGATCATGCTGTCAGTTACCAGACAGCCAGTGGACGAGGATCATGCTGCATTCCAACAGCCCGTGACGAGGTCAGCTGTCAGTGACAAGACAGCCAGTGGACGAGGCTCATGCTGTCAGTGACAAGACAGCCAGTGGACGAGGATCATGCTGTCTGTTACCAGACAGCCAGTGGAAGAGGCTCATGCTGTTCAGTTACCAGACAGCCATGGACGAGGTCATGCTGTCAGTTACAAGACAGCCAGTGGACGAGGTTCATGCTGTCAGTTACCAGACAGCCAGTGGACGAGGTTCATGCTGTCAGTTACCAGACAGCCAGTGGACGAGGATCATGCTGTCAGTACCAGACAGCCTGTGGACGAGGTTCATGCTTCAGTTACCAGACAGCCAGTGGACGATGATCATGCTGTCAGTTACCCGACAGCCAGTGGGCGAGGATCATGATGTCATTACAGACAGCCCGTGGACGAGGTTCATGCGTCAGTTACCAGACAGCCAGTGGACGAGGTCTGCTGTCAGTTACAGACAGCCAGTGGACGAGGTTCATGCTGTCAGTTACCAGACAGCCAGTGGACGAGGATCATGCTGTCAGTTACCAGACACCCTGGACGAGGTTTATGCTGTCAGTTACAACAGCCAGTGGACGAGGCATGCTGTCAGTTACACAGACCAGCCAGTGGGCGAGGATCAATGCTGTCAGTTACCAGGGCAGCCAGTGGACGAGGTTTATGCGTCAGTTACAGACAGCCATTGGACGAGGCTCATGCTGTCAGTTACCAGACGGGCCAGTGGACGAGGTTTATGCTGTCAGTTACTAAGACAGCCAGTGGACGAGGCTCATGCTGTCAGTTACAGAAAGCCAGTGGAAGAGGCTCATGCTGTTCCCGTTTCCAGACAGCCAGTGGACGAGGCTCATGCTGTCAGTTACCAGACAGCCAGTGGACGAGGCTCATGCTGTCAGTGACAAGAAAGCCAGTGGACGAGGATCATGCTGTCAGTTACCAGACAGCCAGTGGACGAGGCTCATGCTGTCTGTCAAGACAGCCAGTGGACGAGGTCATGCTGTCAGTTACCAGCAGCCAGTGGGACGGGCTCATGCTGTCAGTTACAACAGCCATGGACGAGGTCGCTGTCAGTGACAAGACGCCAGTGGACGAGGTCATGCTGTCAGTTACCAGACAGCCAGTGGACAGAGGATCATGCGTCAGTGACCAAGACAGCCAGTGGACGAGTTCATGCTGTCAGTTACAGACAGCCCGTGGACGAGGATCATGCAGTCAGTACCAAGACAGCAGTGGACGAGGATCTGCTGTCGTTACAAGACAGCCCGTGGACGAGGTTTATGCTGTCAGTACTAGACAGCCAGTGGAAGAGGCTCAAAGCTGTCAGTTACCAGACAGCCAGTGGACGAGGCTCATGCTGTCAGTTACCAGACAGCCAGTGGACGAGGCTCATGCTGTCAGTGACAAGACAGCCAGTGGACGAGGATCATGCTGTCAGTTACCAGACAGCCAGTGGACGAGGATTTAATGCGTCAGTACAACGCCCGTGACGAGGTCATCTTCAGTACAGACGCCAGTGACGGGTCATGCTGTCAGTGACAAGACAGCAAGTGGACGAGGATCATGCTGTCAGTTACCAGACGCCCGTGACGAGGCTCATGCTTTGTTCAGACAAGACAGCCAGTGGACGAAGAGGGGTTTATGCTGTCAGTTACCAGACAGCCAGTGGACGAGGCTCATGCTGTCAGTGGCAAGACAGCCAGTGGACGAGGATCATGCTGTCAGTTACCAGACAGCCAGTGGACGAGGATCATGCTGTCAGTGACAAGACAGCCAGTGGACGAGGATCATGCTGTCAGTGACAAGACAGCCAGTGGACGAGGCTCATGCTGTCAGTGACAAGACAGCCAGTGGACGAGGATCATGCTCTCAGTTACCAGACAGCCAGTGGACGAGGATCACGCTGTCAGTGACAAGACAGCCAGTGGACGAGGATCATGCTGTCAGTGACAAGACAGCCAGTGGACGAGGCTCATGCTGTCAGTGACAAGACAGCCAGTGGACGAGGCTCATGCTGTCAGTGACAAGACAGCCAGTGGACGAGGCTCATGCTGTCAGTGACAAGACAGCCAGTGGACGAGGATCATGCTGTCAGTTACCAGACAGCCAGTGGACGAGGATCATGCAGTCAGTGACAAGACAGCCAGTGGACGAGGATCATGCTGTCAGTGACAAGACAGCCAGTGGACGAGGATCATGCTGTCAGTTACAAGACAGCCAGTGGACGAGGATCATGCTGTCAGTGACAAGACAGCCAGTGGACGAGGCTCATGCTGTCAGTGACAAGACAGCCAGTGGACGAGGCTCATGCTGTCAGTGACAAGACAGCCAGTGGACGAGGCTCATGCTGTCAGTTACCAGACAGCCAGTGGACGAGGCTCATGCTGTCAGTGGCAAGACAGCCAGTGGACGAGGTCATGCTGTCCAGTTACCAGACAGCCAGTGGACGAGGTCATGCTGTCAATTACCAGACAGCCAGTGGACGAGGCTATGCTGTAGTGACAAAACAGCCAGTGGACAGGTCATGCTGTCAGTGACAAGACAGCCAGTGGACGAGGATCATGCTGTCAGTTACCAGACAGCCAGTGGACGAGGCTCATGCTGTCAGTTACCAGACAGCCAGTGGACGAGGCTCATTTCTGTCAGTTACAAGACAGCCAGTGGCGAGGTCATGCTGTCAGTTACCAGACAGCCAGTGGACGAGGTCATGCTGTCAGTTACCAGAACAGCCAGTGGACGAGGTCAGCTGTCAGTTACCAAGACAGCCAGTGGACGAGGTCTGCTGTCAGTTCCAGACAGCCATGGGACCAGGTCTGCTGTCAGTTACCAGACAGCCAGTGGACGAGGCCATGTGTCAGTTACCAGACAGCCAGTGGACGAGGCTCTGTGTCAGTTACCAGAACAGCCAGTGGCGAGGTCATGCTGTCAGTTACCAGACAGCCAGTGGACGAGGATCAAACTGTCAGTTACCAGACAGCCAGTGGACGAGGTTCATGCTGTCAGTTCCCGACAGCCATTTGGACGAGGATCAGCTGTCAGTTACCAGACAGCCAGTGCAGGGGGGTTATGCTGTCAGTTACAGACAGCCAGTGGACGAGGATCATGCTGTCAGTTACCCGACAGCCATGGACGAGGTCATGCTGTCAGTTAACAGACAGCCAGTGGACGAGGTTTATGCTTCAGTTACCAGACAGCCCGTGGACGAGGACATGCTGTCAGTTACCAGACAGCCAGTGGACGAGGTTCATGCTGTCAGTTCCAGACAGCCAGTGGACGAGGTCATGCTGTCAGTTACCAGACAGCCAGTGGACGGTTCATGCTGTCAGTACCGACAGCCAGTGGACCAGATCATGCTGTCAGACCAGACGCCAGTGGACGAGGGGGTCATGTTGTCAGTTACCAGACAGCCATGGACGAGGTTTATGCTGTCAGTTCAGACAGCCCTTTGGGGAGGTCATGTGTCAGTTACCGAAAAGTGGCGAGGTTCATGGTCATTCCAGCAGCCGTGGGGAGGTTTTGCGCGTTAAACAGCCAGTGGGCGAGGTCATTGTCATTCCCCGCAAGTGGACGGGTCTGCTGTCAGTTACCCAAAACAGTGGACGGGTCGCTGTCGTACAAAACACCAGTGGACGAGGATCATGCTGTCAGTTACCGACGCCCCGTCGAGGTATGCTTCAGTACAAAACAGCAGGGGAGAGGTCATCTGTCATTTAAAAACGCCATGGCGGGGCTCATGCTGCAGTCAGAAAACCGTGGGCGGGCATGCTGTCAGTTACCAACGCCCCTGGAAGGTCATCGTCAGTACAAAACAGCCAGGGGGCGGGGCTGTGTCGTGACAAGAGGCAGTGGGCGAGGTTGCTGTCAGTACAAAACAGCCATGGACGAGGATTTATGCTGTCGTTTCCCCCACAGCCATGGACGAGGATTATGCTGTCAGTACAAAACGCCAGTGGAGGGTCATGCGTCATGACAAACAGCCCGTGGACGAGGTCATGCTTTTTAGTGACAAGAAAGCCAGGGACGAGGCCCTGCTGTCAGTTACAAAAAGCCAGGGGCGAGGGGTCATTGTCAGTGACAAGACAGCCAGTGGACGAGGATATGCTGTCAGTTACAGACAGCCAGGGGGCGAGGTCGCAGTCATGACAAGACAGCCGGGAGAGGTATGCTGTCGTGACAAAACAGCAGGGACGAGGATCAGCTGTCGTTACCAGACAGCCAGTGGAGAGGGATATCTGTCGTGACAAGACAGCAGTGGCGAGGTCATGTGTCAGTACAAAACAGCCAGTGACGAGGTCAGCTGTCAGGACAAGACAGCCCGTGGACGAGGTCATCGGGCAGTTACCCGACAGCCCGTGGACGAGGATCATGCGTCATAAGACAGCCCGTGGCG